AGCCTCCATGTGTTTGAATGTTTTTGAGGTTTTGTTTTTTGTTTTTTGCTGTAGTTGATTTATAGTTTCATGCCATTGTGCTTCAAGAAGATGTTTGATATGATTTTAATCTTCTTGAATTTGTTATGACTTGTTTTGTGTCCTAACATGTAGTCTATCTTTGAGACTGTCCTATGTGCACTTAAGAAGAATATATATTCTGCAGCTTTGGGGTGAAATGTTCTGTAAATACCAACTAAATCCATCAGATCTAGTGTGTCATTTAAGGTTGCCATTTTCTTGTTGATTTTTTTTGTCTGGAAGATCTATCCAGTGATATCAGTGGGGTGATAAAGTCCCCTACTATGACTGTATTGCTGTTGATCTCTCCCTTAAAATCCTCCAGAGTCTTGCTGCTCTGATTGATTTTTTTCCTACCTTGTCTTCTAATTCACTTATTTGATACTCTGCTTCTTCTAACCTACTGTTTATGTCTTCCAGGATAGTCTTTATTTCAGATATGTTATTCTTCATTTCCAAATAGTTGTTTACCATGGTTTTTATGTTATTTGTCATGCTGTTGAACATTTTTAAAACAATTACTTTATACTCTGTTACTAGTAAATTGCTTGCTTCCATTTCATTTAACTCTCTTTCTGTAAATTCCTCTGTTCTTTCATTTGGGACCTGTTTCTTTATTTCCCCATTTTTGCTGTTTCTTTGTGTTTGTTTCTATGTATGGATAGGGCTGCTATGACTCCCAGTCTTCATGGGGTAGCCTTCTGTAGTGGTTGTCTTGTGCAAGCCAGTTGTGTAGTCTTCTTCTTTTTTTAATCTTTTTCTTTTTAATTTTTATCTCAAGAAAAATGGTCTTAAATATAATATTACATGCAATAAACATTAATATTTTAAGAAAAAAGGGATTTTAAGTATAATGTTACCAAAACTGTACTAGTATGATATTACAAAGATTGTAGGAAATATTAAAAATCTGCAAATAACAGGATTATTTCTATTATGTTCTTAAGATATTATTTTTTCCCTCTGGCTCTATTTTTGTTCATCAGTTTATGTTGTTCATTATATTCCACAAATGAGTGAGATCATGTGATATTTACCTTTCTCTGACTGGCTTATTGCACTTAGCATGATGTTCTCCAGGTCCATCCATGCTGTTGCTAAGGGTAAGAGTTCCTTCTTTTTACCACTTCGTAGTATTCCATTGTGTAGATGTACCACAGTTTTTTAATCCACTCATCTGCTGATGGGTGCTTAGGCTCTTTCCAAATCTTAGCTATTGCAAAGGTGCTGCTATGAACATAGGGTTGCAGTGTCTCTTGCCCTTCTGTATGTCCTCTTTCAAAAAGTATCTATTTAGATCCTTTGCCCATTTTTTTATTGGATTGTTTATCTTCCTTTTGTTAAGTTGTATGAGTTCATGTTGTCTTCTTAATCTTCTGAGTGAGATGCTCGAGGAATGTACCATGTGGATTATGTGGACCCTCCTATTATAATTGTGTCTCAACATTAATAATAAACATTAATATTTTAAGAAAAAAGGGATTTTAAGTATAATATTACCAAAACTGTACTAGTATGATATTACAAAGATTGTAGGAAATATTAAAAATCTGCAAATAACAGGATTATTTCTATTATGTTCTTAAGATATTATTTTTTCCCTCTGGCTCTATTTTTGTTCATCAGTTTATGTTGTTCATTATATTCCACAAATGAGTGAGATCATGTGATATTTACCTTTCTCTGACTGGCTAGCACTTGTAGTTTGTTTGGCTAGCAGCACCAGTTGTCTGTTCATGGGTGGGCTTAGCTCGTGGGCTGGATGACTGTGAGCTCAACCCCAACCACATCATAACAACTGTTACACAGGTGCTGACAGAACAGAACAAGACAAAGCAAGCCAAGCTGAAAACAACAAGAAACAACAAGCCAACAACCACAAAACCAAGAATAATTAGGAGGAAAAAACAATACAGAAAGACAAGAGACCAAAGAATTAGAAAAGAAAAAAGAAACAAAAGAAGGGAATATGAAAGAAAAGAAAAGAAAAAGAATAAGAGAAAAAAGAAAAGTAAAAAAATGTTAAATGAGATAAGTGTTAAAATGTAATAATAATGAATAAAATAAAATATAGAATAGGAAAGTAATAAATGAAAAATAAAAAAGGAAAAAAAAGAAAAGAGAAGGAAAAAGTAGAATAAGAAAAGGAAAAAGAGAAATAGAGATATTAAAGTTTTATTGGTGGGGTGGTCTCCGTGTCCCCACTTGTTATTGAGTGGATTTGGCCTTCTTTGGGTGCCAGGAATAAGAATATCTTGAGGCCCCCACAGGAAGATGAGGTATCAAAAAAAGCGTGATTTTGGTTGAATTAGACCCCTGTGTTCCAAGGTCCCATCTCCCTCTCTCTTGCCATGGAAGATATCTAGCTTTGTCTTTAGTGGAACTGGGATTAAAGCCGTTGCCCAGAGTTTCACTGCATTTGCACAGTTCAGTCCCGCATCTCACTAGGTTAGCTTGTATTCCCAGCTACACTCCATTGCATGTGGGGTTTGCTTGGCTATGGGCCATGCAGCTCCCAGGGCCACATGGTTATGGAAGGAGCACAGGTGAGTGCAAGGAAGCAAGAGTGAAGCAAGAGGAACAAGAGAAAGAATTCCTTTGCCTGCGAATTATGTATTCCAGATTTTCACAGGCTTGCAGTGGCTCCAACCCTAACCAGTTATATTTGTTCCAGGTTAGCCTGACAGGCGAGTACCATCCCTACCTCACCTCGCCTTCACTGTGCAAGCATCCATCTTCCCCTTTGTTGGGCCCCTTCCCCTGTGATTTGCAGGGATTGGGCCAGTGGTTCCCTGGGAAGTGCAGAGTTGCAGCTCCCAGGTGAAGCTGCCCAGATGACCATGCTTATCATGTCCAGCAGACCCTTTGCCCCAATCCTATTAATATTAATAACTAGCCAATTACAATGCTGACAAAAGTGAAAAGAGAGGAAACGAATATTTTAAATGAAATATAAAAGAAAAAGTAAAGAAAATATTAAAATTAAAAAGTGTTCGCCTCCATAGGTTTTAGTGCCTACTGTGTTCACCCTTTGGATCTGCTGTTTGTGGAGCCCGCTGGATTTTGCTCCATGTTGTCAAGTTGGCCACTTGGTATGCTGGTCTCATCCCTCCCTGGAGGTTCTCTGGTGCAGGCCAATGGCAGTCATTGTCCCTGCCTGGCCCTTAGCAATCTGACTGATGCTTGGCAATTTGACATCTGGTGGACGGGGCCTCTGGAATCCAGAGGCTGGTCTGCCTCCAGTACGCAGCTAGAATGTCTCTGCTCTGAGTAGCTCTTCCTTTGCCCATGGACCTGCACTTTTGTCTCCCAGACCTAGCCAGTGGTTTGTAGTCTGTTTAAACCAGTAGGAAGGCGGTCACTTCCTTTTCTTCCTAGCACTGGGCTCGCTGAACTCACTGGGGAACTTGGATGTGCTTCCCTGTCACGCAGCCCAAGGGCTGAGCACAGGCCCACCTGTCTCTCTGACAGAAGCCCACTGAAGATACACAGTTGCATTGCCTTAACTCTGCCTGGCCTCTTGGCACCTTCTTGTCGCCACACCCAGTAGGGCATGTTTAAAAGAAAAATAAGGCCTGAAGTAGTTTCAGAGGAAAATAATATTGTGAAAACAAAGCTCATATTAAATATTTGAGAATTTAGAGATTTGGGAATATTTGTTCAAAGCTAGAAAATTTTAGCAGAAATTGTATTTCTACTTTTTAATGTGGTTGAAAATTAATGCATTGTGCATTTTGCAAATTTAATGCATCATGAATTTTTTTTAAAATATATTTTATTGATTTTTTACAGAGAGGAAGGGAGAGAGATAGAGAGTTAGAAACATTGATGAGAGAGAAACATCGACCAGCCGTCTCCTGCACATCTCCCACTGGGATGTGCCCGCAACCCAGGTACATGCCCTTAACCGGAATTGAACCCGGGACCCCTCAGTCCGCAGGCCGATGCTCCATCCACTGAGCCAAACTGGTTTCGGCAATGCATCATGAATTTAACTTTAATCATGATAAAACATAGCCATTACAGTATTTTGGAAAGAACATTTTTTTCCAACATGTTTTTGTCTTAACATAAGAACCAACTGGAATTATGTGTAATGTGAATGCAGTACTTTTTAAATTGCTGTAGCTATGACTTCTGATTAAAACATTGTTTTTACACCCATAAAACACATTATCCCTAGTCTTAAATGTTCAAACAAAAAAATTCTAAATTATTCATTATGTGTATTATATGAAACTAAAGGAAAATTTAATTTTTTTTACAGTGGATTTTTAAAATGTAGTTTAAGATTAGGAAACAAGATTTTAAAAATCTTATTTAAGACGTTAAGCGCCAAGCCTGTTTTGTCTTCCTTTCCGTTTAGCCCACGATAGCCGATTTCACCAATATGCTAGCAGCACCAGTGACTGATGAGGTCTGGATGGAAAGTATAGTGTCAGTCACCAGAGACTGACATGGTGCTTAATGTGTTAATCTTTATTGGAAAAGATGATTTGTTAACAGTGTAAAACTTAACTGTCTACTGGGACTTTCAAGAAATAGGAGTCCTGTAGTGTTATGGGGCTAAAAAAAAAGTGATGTTGAAGAGGCCAATTAAAGTCAACATAAAAAGCAGGCAGTCGGTGCAGGAAAAAGAAAAATAAGTCTATTTTTTCCAGCCAAAGTCTTTCCCCCAAGATTTTTGTTTCTATTCATGTTCCTAAGGAATAAGGTTTATTCAGCCAATGTGTAAAATACACAAAAGGAAGAGCAATGCAACTAGAACTGATTGCACTTTTTAGTGGAAACATATTCAGGGTCTGAGGTGAGTAAAAGTCAGAGGCTTTGTGATAATGATAAATCAATTATAATATCCATTGCAATAATGTTATTACCTTTATTTTTTTCTGAAATTTGTGTTGCATATCTTTTACCTCCAATTTCTCCTGCCCTTCTAGAGGCTCTCCCTACAGAGAATCTCCTTTGGGTCATTTTGAAAGCTATGGAGGGACCCCCTTTTTCCAGGCTCAGAGAATGTTTGTAGATGTACCTGAAAATACAGTGATACTGGATGAGATGACCCTCCGGCACATGGTCCAGGATTGTACTGCTGTAAAAACTCAGTTACTCAAACTGAAACGTCTGCTGCATCAGGTGAGTTTATAATGAACATTTTTGACTTTTGATATTTGAGTTGCAAGATGTATTAACATTACTTAAAAATTTTTAAATTGGGTTTTCAATGTCTATTTAGGTTTCTATAAAAATAATACTTATAAATAGTACTTAATAGCCCAGCTGGTGTGCCTCAGTGCTTCTGGTTGACCTATCAACCAGAAGGTCACAGTTTGATTTCTGGTCAGAGCATATGTCTGGGTTTCAAGCTTGATCCCCATTGGGGGCAATGCAGGAGGCAGATGATTAATGACTCTCTTAATCATTGATGTTTCTATTTCTCTCTCCCTCTCCTTTCCTCTCTGAAATCAATAAAAATATATTAAAAATATTTTTTTTAAATAGTGCACAATAGAAATTTTTGTGGAAGGAAAAAATATATGAATTTATATATGGTCACCCTACAGTCCCCAACATTTATGAGCTGTGTAATATTGGATAAGCCAATCTCTCTGGTTCTTTTTCCTCATTTTTATAGTTCCTGCACTGTAAGGTTACTGAGAGAATTAGAAACAGTAGTTGTAAATTGAGAGATTTAATACCTGAAACATGGTAGGCTTTCAGTCATCAGTGACTGCTACTAATTTCGGCTAAATGGGAATAAGAAAGAGCAGTTTTTATTTACATCTATATATATATAGAAGCCAAGCGACCGGAACCACCAGAACGACCGGTTGCTATGATGTGCACTGTGGCCTGATTGGGGCCACCCTGCAACATCCCGCGGTCCCTCCCCCAGGCTGGCCCGGCTCCTGATTGGCCCCACACCCCGATTGGGAGTGGGGCTGGCCACCCAATTGCCCGCAGCCCCTCCCCCTGACCAGTCCCGCTCTTGATCGGCTCCCCATTGGCCGACCCCACCTGTGCACGAATTCGTGCACTGGGCCTCTAGTAATCATATAATTGTAGTTTTGTTTGAAACCTTCAAGTTTAATCTTTCTCCATCTTATTTTTTTATTTGAGAAAATCTAGACTTATAACAGTGATGTGACTTCTCAAAAGACACGTGGTGAGCTGATGTTTGAATCTGGCTTCTGATTCAATAGCATTTTTTTGGTTTGAACATATAACACTTAAGAGACAAGGTCAGATGCATAGCAGAAAACTTAAGGATAAAACACTAATTTCAAAATGTGGATATCTTTTGTTTAGTTTTAAATCTATATTTGTCTTTTATAGACTAGTCACATTTTGCTTAAATTAATGTTGAGAAAGAACACTCTGGCTTGCTTGCTCAACTTATTTTCTCATCTTCCTCAGGGTTGTGTGTTCTAGCTAATTCTGAGCAGGGACCAAGTTTTAGAGCTTATGATGGTAATAAAACCAAACTCAAGCCATATGCTCAGAAGTGAAATATGGCTCTGCTATGTCAGCAGTGATGATTAGTAAAGGTATTCTGATACAGTCATGTAAATTATTTTATATTATTTGGTTATGGATTTCCTGGACTCCTCTTCTCCATGCTTACAGAAATTTGACCTTTCTGTGCTAAGGCTGGAGTGAGCACGTGGAGGATCCTTTGCAGAGATCCCATTCTTGGACTCCTTTCAAGACAGAAAGGATTTCAAGTTTGAAATATACAGACATAGAGCTTAGAATGTAGTTTAACTGTAATAGAAGTAGACGAGTTTATAGTATTTCTCTGCTTGCCAGTCTGGAGAGAAGATTTCTGATCAGGAGATTTAGAGTCAAAGGAAAGAGGTCGTAGAAAGGCTGGGAAATAGCTAAACTATGGTCAGTGTCTCCTTCGAGTCAGCCAGTGGGCGAGCTAGTCCACACACCTTCTTTTGTGTCTGGGTTTATTGTTCTGAAACATGAAGCTTGATCAAATATTAGCTAATAAGACCAGGTTACCTCTATTAGGAGAGAAGTTAGGTAATTTAGAGAATAAGTGAATAAGGACCATAAAAATAGAAAACTGTTTTTTGTGACACTTTATGAAAAATGGAATCTCTTAATGGCTTTGTGCCATTATGACTTCTGAAATTTTATATAGTACACATTGATCAAATTGACGCTTTGTTTACACAGTGACAACAAAATTATGAGAAGAAAATTGCAAAATCTTTTTAGGGCATGTTTAAATTTCCCCAAAATGCTAATAGATATTAAAAGCTGGATAAGTCCAAGATTTCATATAACTGCCTCTTAATTTTTTCCCTTTTAATATTACTAAATTTAAAAAAAGTTTAGGGTGATAAATATATACGGTCTGAAAACATTCACATAGTATCAGAGGCTTAGTGAAAACAGTCTCTGTGCATCCCCCACCTCTGTCAGCCTTTCGCCATCCGAACTGTCAGAAGCTTCTCCAGGGCTCCTCGTAGCGACTCCCTCTTGTTTGCAGGGGCTGGGCCCACTCACTTCCTGGGTGAACTTCTTCTGGCTTAGGTTACTCCCTTACTACCCTAGAGCGTATCCTTCATTTACTTCCTAAGGGAGGTCAAATGGATGCTAAATATTTTTAGTTACTGCATTACTGAAAATCTCTTATATTCTCATTTGTTTGAAAGTAACAGTTTGGCTGGATGCAAGTGAGTTTTCCCTTAAAATCTGAGTGTATTGCTTTTCTAGGATCCAATTTAGCTACTGAGAAAAGTACTAAATTCTGATCCATTTAAATTGTATTTGCCTGTTTTTAATCTCTGGAAGAGTTTTTAAATCTTTTACTTCCAGCATTTTAATCTTTATTCCTGGCATTCTGAAGCTCACAGGAATGTGTTGGGATTTGAGTTTTATTGCACTTACTTGTTTTCCACTTAACACTTGGGTAATTAGTGGACTCTTTGGAGAGTTATGCAGGGTGAAATTTTAAGTCATTTCTATGATTTTTTGTTTTACCCTGTTTTTTTTTTTCTGTATCTTTCTGGTATTCTTGGTAATCGCAAACCAGAACTTCTAAATTGTTTCTCCATCTTTTATTTTTTTCTTTCATATTTTTAATTTCTTTGGGTTTGATTATGTTTTCCAGTATATTTATACAACTTCATATTCCAGTCTCTATTTCTGTTGAATTACTATTTTGGGAGTTATATTTTCAGGATCCAAGAACTCTTTATTGTGCACCATCCTTCTTCATACCATTCAATTCTTGTTTTGTCAGGAACTGTTATTGATGCAGTTCTTGGGGGACTGCTGGAATAGGCATTTCCAGAGGCCCCCCGCGGGAGGGTGCGATCCAGTAGAAAGATTGCTTTCTGTGGAATTACATTCCTGGGTTTCCAAAGTCCTATTTTCCTTAGTCCAGCCATTGATGGAGTAAAGCTGGGGTTTCAGTAGAGCTAGAAGTAAAGCCAGTCTACAGACTTTCCTCTCCATGTTGGACCTGGGTCTATAGAGCATCAGGCTGGCTGCACCATTAGTCCATTGTGGGAGGTTCACACTGGTGTGGGCCACATGGGAGAATGCAGGCGAGTGAGCCCTCACAACAAGAGCCCCGTGGGTCCTGAAAGCACAAGAGTGACTTTCTTTGTTCAGGTAATTCAGGTCCCAAATCTCCATGCCCTGCGGTGGCCAGGCCTATTCTGGCCAGTGGCCTTTGTTTCCAGGTGTGACGGACAGAGAGCACCTTCCCTAGTCATCCCGAATCCCTGGTCATGCATCTCTCTTACCTTTGTCCAGTCCTCTTTAACCAGTGTTTTACAGGGGATATCCTACAACGTCTGGCCTCTCCTTTGCTACTTTCCTATTACTAGTGTTAATAACTAGTTAATTACAGTGGTGTCATAGGTATATTAAGTTCTGTGTTTTTATTACATTTTGTTAAGATTTCTTACCTGCATTATCTCTTTCTAAATGGTTATTTTGTTCTTTATATTTATTTTGTATTCTATTCCTTTTAGAATCTTTCTTCAAATAAATAATTCTTTGTTGTTTATTTATATTTAAGAGTGAGGAGCTAAAAGGTTGATTGATGGCTGTATGTGAGCTGTCTGGTAAGCCAGCTGGCTTTATTGTACAGTGATGGATGGGTACTGATGTCCTAGGTTACTTTAGTTTCTCTGGAGACAACACCTCTGATATTTTAGCTTGGAATTGAGGCAGAACACTGGGAGTATTTCTTGTCTTACGCAGACTTCCAATCAATTCCCACATTTAAAAAAATTGTTGACAGTAATACAGATATCCCCCATTATCTCCCTCTTTGTCCCTCTTCACCCAGACCCCACCCCCATCCCAGGCCTTCCCCATACTATCGTCTGTGTCCATGGGTTATACATATATGTCCTTTGGTTAATCTCTTTCTGTCCCCTCCCACTCCCTCCCCTCACTGAAATCTGTTATTTTGTTCCATGCATCCATACCCAGGTTCTGTTCCTCAGTTTATTTTGTTCATTAGATTCCACATATAAGTGAGATCATGTGATGTATGTCTTTCTCTAATTGGCTTATTTCACTTCGCATAGTAATCTCTAGGTCCAGTTCCCACATATTTAACCCAGACAAGTCATGTGCTTACCTTTTCTATATCTCACATATTGACCGTCTTAGGGGTTTTGCAGGGCACATATTGTCCATATTTTTTGTATGCACACACTCTAGTTGTGTCTTCCTCCAGTCCTGCTAAATCACTTACTAAAGTTTATATATTTTTAAAAAATTTCTTTATCATTTTAGTATAGGTTTAAGAGAAAGAGAAGATAAACATATTTCTAATAAAAAACCCCTTTTTTTAAAATATAGAGAAAAATCTCATAAACATTACTTTAGTTGTGTGACTGCTTCCTCATGAAACTTGATTGGGTCACGGCTCAGGATTGATCATGCACATGGGTAGCTCGTCAAGGGAGGTGCCAGCACGCGGCAGGTCTCCTGAGGCTCCTCTGGATGGACCATTTCTCAGCTGTCCCTGTGTTTGATGATCTTGATAGTTTTGAGGAGAACTGTCAAGTGTTTTGAAGACTGTCGCTCAGTAGGGATTAATATGATGCTTTTCTCATGATTAGATGGGTTTGTTGATTTTGGGAGGATGACCAGAG